GCCTTTTTGGCCCTGAAGCAAGTGGGAAGCTTGCTTTGCCTACCATCTGCCCCACACTGTAGTCGAAGCCGTTTGCTTGTCTGGAACTTTCCGTCCTTGCTGATTGCATGGGCTTTGCACTGTTGGCAGGAAAGCCTGCCACCCTGCCGCCACATGACATGCGAGTTGTGCCCATCCCATCCATCGGCCTCCTCCCAAGGCCCGTTCCAGCAAGTCGTGGTGGCGAGAGCCACCAACTTGTCTTTTGCAGCATGCCGCAAAATGCGGCTTTTGCCCTCCATGCACACAAGGTAGTTCTTCTGGAGCTCAAATCGGTGGGCTGACATCTCAGGCAGCGCGCCCGTCAGCATCTTCTGTAGCGTCTCTCCTTTAGAGAGGCCTGTTTGGCTTCCTCCGGTGATTTGGAGGTTTGCTCCAGCAGGACACTTTTCATTTTTGACAGCTGCCAAATCAACCATCTTCCAATGTTTTGTGATCCTTTTGCTGCAGCCCCCACACTGAAGGCCAGAACCCTTGGTCTGCCAGACATGCCCGCCGTCTTGGTGCTGGTTGCCAATGTCCAAAAACATCTGGCTCTTGGCCTCTCTGGCTTGCGCTCTGTTCTTTTTCCCTGTTTCCTTGGCCTCATGCAAAAAATGACCTTTGTCTTCAAAGAGATGCTTGGTGCGCTGAATTGCTAATGGAGCTATCTTCTGGTACCTCTGGTCGGTCACCTTCAGTTCCTCCTCAAGCGCTTCGGCTTTTTGGGTCTGCGGGCAGGTCCACAGCAAATGAATGGTGGTTGCTTCAACCTGACAATGTGGGCAGATCACATGCTTGCCTTCTTGTCCTTCGGAACTCTTGGAAAACAGGGCTCCTTGGTGCCAAGTCTGCAATGCCAAATTTTGTTGTTTGTTGAGTGTTCTGCTCAGTCTCCGCCAAGGAAGCCAATCAAGGGGTTGCTGCACCTCTGACAACTGAGATCGTTGGTTGATCTTCATGACCGTCTCCCATCTTCTGGCCCGTGCAAGCTCTTGCTTGAGGAAAAACCAGTCTGCATGCATGTTCAGCCGGAACTCGGGTTGCCCATTGTGTCCTGGCTTTGTCCACTCAGTGTGGCTCTCATAGTTCCAGCCATGTTCATGCAGGTAGCATTGCAACGCAGCTACGGGACCTTTGGCGTGCTGCCAAGGATACTTCACCTGCTGGAGTCTTTCTCGGCGGTGAACTTGCCATGCTCGCCCTAGATGTTCCGGCCAGTTTCCATAGAACCGACGGTAAAGCCTGACCTGGTCTTCAAAGGCACCATAGTCGGGATCACGGTGTTGAGGCATCATGTCAAAAAGGATGTCAACATTCCCTGTCTTCTGCAGACCCATCTGACGGCCCATGGTGGCCTTGAGACGTCGCCGAACCTGCGGGGCCAGTCCCATGGCCTCGTGTCCCCAACTAACGCCAGCGACGATGGACCCCTTGTACAGCTTCAAGCGGATGGACTGCAGTGCCCAAGCCTGGTTGCTCAAGGTTTTGCAGCACGTACCTCTCTATGCGACTGTAGAGGTTGCCAACTCTTTGGCCGCCTTGGTGGCGTCCTTCATTCGAGCCTGAACAGTGAAAGGTCCACTTGGCATTTCATTGATCTGCTTCAATCTCAGGCTCATTGGCTGAATGCGGGATCTCTGATCATGCATGACCAGATTGCTCAAATCGTGAAAGACCTCACGATGTTTGTGTTTCATCCAGCCTTCCCATGCTCGCACTGAGAGCACTTGTACAACCACTTTCTTTGACAAGTCCAGATAGTGTGCCATCAATCTCAAGCCGTAGTACCATGCACGTTCTAATGACTGAGCTCCTGGCAGCACGGTGGTTACCGCACCTTTGCGGTAAAGGACTCCATCAACTTGTGCGCGATGCACCAAGGCAACAACGTAATGTTTGAGGCGCGGTGGGCATTTGGATGAGACCCTGTGACCAGAAGTCAAGGTTGATTCCCAGCTCAACTTCTGCCATGTCTGCCCTGTCTCTTGATTGGTGAGGTTGTCAGGTTCTTTGTTCAACCAATTGACTTCAACTTGCTGCTCTTCAATCTGATGCCATGCTTTCTCATGGTTCTGCTGCTTTGGTGCTGGCCCAAACTTGGACAGTTGCCTGACTACGACTTCTTCAAAATGCCCTGCAATACTGAAGCGCAACATGGCATGAGGCTTGAAAGGAACCATCCAATCTGCTTGAATGTGCATGTCCGCAATCAAAAGATTTGAGACAAGGGCCCAATCCAACTCACTACCAGTGTTGCATGTTTCTTCCCCAGTTGCCAGGATCTGAACTTGCATTGTTTGTGCCATTGTCGTTGTCATGAAAACTTCCGGGGTTACATTGAAGTCACGAAAGATCACAGCCGATTTCTGCAACTGCTTGACAAAAGCAACTAAGCTTCCCCAAAGTGTGGCGTTTGTCGGGCCTTGCATTCCCTCTCCACACTTGAAGTGCGGCATGATCATGACCAGTGTGCTGTTGGCGAAAGTCCAACTGACAGCATACCATCCGCAACCTTCAATAATTTGTTTCTGCAAGAAGTGGAAACGCATGTGCCAAGGATATACCATCAGAAGCCCCCCATAGGTGGCCCCTTTGACACTCTCTGCTGCAGGCTCTCCTAGTACTCCGAGGCCTCGAGTGGCAAACCATTGTACCATCTTTTCATGATCCCCTGGGCCAAGGTGTGTTTCTACCATGAAGAGCGGTTTGCGAGGTCGAGTGACTACCCACTGTCTGACTGAATGACCTAGCTGAGTGACATTGGCGAAGTCAAATTCAATGCTTTCCTTACACCCTCGTTTGGGGTGTGGTGAGCTATCATCAAGTGGACTTCCGGCAGGTGGTTCATCAATGTCGAGCCTTCCCAATGCACCTCATTTTCCACGAAGATCAGCGTACAAATGAGCTGGAGCAGCTCATAGCAACGTGGGCAAACACAGCAGAAGGCCAAGTGTTTGATGGTCAAGGGCTATGGGTGGCTCAAATAGGACGATATAGGCAAGTGAATGGGGCCTGGACCAAACATCATCGTGGACTTCAGGTACCTTCCATTTTCAACCTGCCTTTGACCATGGATGGCAATGAAACACAAACGCTGCAATTTTCTGTCATTGGTTTCTTGTGCCACTCCGGCACAGCTCACCAAGAAGGGCATTTCTTTGCTGTCTTTGTCTATTGAGGGCTGTATTGGCTAGTAGACGATGGGGCTTATCCCAAGGCTATCCAAGGGCTCAGTGACAAGATCAAACAGCAGATTGTTCAAGTGTGGGCCATACCCTCAAGCCGGATGCTGCCCGCCAATGTTGGCAGTGACCTGGAGGAAAAACCGAGCCGACAGATCAGAAAATGAGACGCGTCATCCTGCTTGTTGTCATCGAATTGTTCCCAAAGCTTCTCTATGCCTGGAAGATTTGGGAGCTGCGCAATGTCATCTGCCCTGAGCGCCTCCAGAACTGCCCCTGTTGCTTTTGCACACAACTGCCTGCCGTCCATGAAACTTCCTGCCCATGCCCAAAGACGAAAGGCAGCATTGGCAAAGCATCTATTGTTTGGGTTGCCCAGTCTGCATTGCAAACTCTGAGCCACAAAATCGAGCGGGCTCATGTGACCCCGCATTGAGTCATCTCTTCATCATCGCTGGTTGGGATCATCGTGATATCATGATCACCAGCACCCCCTGTGAAGCCTGGAAAAACTCCAGCCTCCGTGGTGGCCATCAGCTGGATGGCCTGTGTCCCCATGTCAGGAAACGAAGAGACGTGCCCACATCCTGAGCCAAAAACTGCACAACCAGTCGCTTTGCTCTCTCTGTTCCCCTGAGATGTATCATAGCTAGTAGTTGTGTCATCCCCTTGCTGAGCTCTTGCCTGTGCCATGGTGTTACCCGCGCTTCCTTCTTTTTGCGGCTGTTTCACCAAGCTTTGTTGCCAGGTCTTTCACCTGAGCTGATGTCGCCTGCAAGCCTACGCTAGCAATTGACCAAGGCTTCTGGCGAGAGCTCCTCTGCCATTTCAGCATCTTCCTGCTTTTGGTTTTCCAGCTGTTGATTGTATTGGGATGTGGTCGTCTGCAGCTCCTTTTGAGCCGTCTCGATCTTGGTCTGCTGCCTTGGCCTGAATGGCCGCCTTTTTCTCTGTGAGTTGTTTCAAGGTACCCACAGCTTGCTTCACTTTGGATGCTAGTGGCGGTTCCGGTGGAGTTGGAGCCACCAGTTTTTCTACCGCCTCCTTGAGGTCCGTTGGAAGGCTCTGCAAATGCTCCTTGATCAAAGTCGGCAGATCTGGAGTAGCTGGAGCCTCAACCTCCACAACACCCATGGCCTGACACTTCTCCTTGAGAGCAGTGGGTAGGTGGTCCCAGTGGTCCTTCAAGGCCTTGTGTATTGCTGGCTGTTTGGCCTTTTTGGCCTTCTTTCCTCTTTGGCCTCCATGAAGGCCGGGTGGCGGTTCAAGCAGGGCTTCCTTGAAAGTCTTTATGGGCCACCTTTGTCCTGAACCCTCAAAGTTCCATGGCGCCCAAGTCACCTTTTTGGATTTCCTCACGTCCGGTAGATGGTCTTTTTGCCATCTTGTGCCGCACTGGTTGCATGTCAACCTGGGGTGCGTCATCAATCTTTCTCCCCAAATCCAGCTTTGCCGGCAATGGGTGCAAACCATATATTGCCTTCTCATCTTCGATCACGGTCTGGCCTTTCTTGTCCGCAGTCTTGTTGCGACCGTGTAGTGCTTGGCAGCCAGGTGACCGACAGGTCACGTGGCTTGATGCTGAAATGGCTTGAGCCGCGAAGAACAACATGTATATACAGTATATATATATATATGTATCAAGTATATAACTAGCTCGGAATGCACAAAGTTGCTAGAGTTGGATATGGGTCAAAACTTGGTTGCAAATTGTGAATGGGAAAAAAGCAGTGGCAGTCTATTTCAGAAGAATCATGTTGCAGATGGCAGGTTCTGCAACCAAGCGTCTCATACAAGGTACCATCTTGGCTGCTCTATTTGATCGTCATCATGGCAGCATCTTGTTTGCAGTACTGTCACAAAGAGGACAATGTGCACACTGGCCGTAATCAGCGCAAATGTGCCGTACTAAACACAAGTGTGCATGTGCCCTTGTGAGCATACTAGAGACAGCATACGCAAACTTCTTTACTGCATTTCATTGCCAGTTTGCCATCGGAGTTTGATTTGTTTATAGGCATTCTGCCCATTGCCTTGGTGCAATCTCAGGCACTAATTTTTCAGACCGGCCGAGTAAATCTCAAGGCCGCCACGCAGGATTTCAAACCGACGACCCTGTGCAAAGCGTTTGGTGTTTGGAGAAGGGTACTGGTACAAGTCGAACACTCACTTCCTCCCCTAGCAGTGCTCTTTCAGCCAAAGATCCGGGATCCGACTCTAACATGCTCTTTCCATGCCAGGTCATCCGAAAGGCCTGTGATCTAAGTACGGAGGCCGGGATCAGTTGTGGCAGGAAGTCCAGATAGATGATTAATTAGGGGCGATCTTTCGGTTGAGAATGCACGGATCTCCACAGAGAGGCGGATCCAACAATCCCGCATGACCCATGTCGTTGACCACCGCTTCACTGATACTGCATGTCATGAGTTTTGCAAGTTCTGCTATTCAATTTGGACTTGCTAGTGAGGACACATACAGTGGGGCACTCATGTGTCTCCCAAAAGGAGGGTTCAGCATGTCCCGAGATTAAGCCAAGAACTGTGCCTGCTTTTCATCTCCAATGCAACTGCTGGTTGGGACACCGCTGGTGATGGAGGCTCAATACCCCTTTCAACTCTCACGCATGCACAAATTGCTAAGAATCTAAGTTGCAGAGAGTCCGACTTAGATTGTTTACGGGATGCTGTATTTGACCCTAGAAAGAGGTTACTTGCGGCATGGGCAAGATACACAATCTCAAAGGCATGTTCTTGCTGGACGTCAAGCTTCATCATGTCGAAGCCAAGTTGCTCCTACCCAAGTTGCTCCCGGTCAAGGGGACGTCAAGTCCAACCGGGGAACAGAACTCCCAACCCATCGTTTCGCACGGGCGCCACGAGCGCCACGGGCGCTTGCTGCGGGCGCCATGACGCAAGAGAACCTTACGAACGTTGCCCAGGAGAGTCGATGGAATTGCTTGTTAGCCTGGTGCATTGTAAGAAAGAACTGGCATGATCAAAAAAGGTCTATGAAGGTCTGAAGAGAACTGAAAAGGTCTGACTGCTCCCAGAGTCCAAGCTTCTTCTCTGAAAAGACAAAAGAAAGACAGAAGCTGTTTACCCTACGGTAACAACCGTGTTTTCTGCTTTGAAAGGCCTTCCAAGCTGAGCCAATGCTTTTACCGGATTCTAGTGAATAGTCTTCCGGTGAATGATGAACAGGAGTCTCCACGTGCGTCTTCTGATAGAGTCTTGGCTAGCACTGGTGTGAAAAGTGTCACATAATGTTTGTCAAAGCAAAAGATAGAGCTAGACTGAGTCTATGCACAATTGCAGAGTCAGAGATGTCAAAGGCAAGTCCGGAAGATGGGCAAGCCACTCTACACCGTATCTCGTGTGACGCCTCGTCTTTTCTCATGCCAGGCACTCAGAAGACTCCTTCACCTGGAATGAGGCCTGGGTGCTCTGCTCTGGAGGTTGCCCACAAGCGCTGCCCCATCAATTCATGACAGAATGGAATGGATTGCAAAAGATTGCAATGACTTCCTGCGACATGATCCCTCCAGGTCGCTTGCTGCTTCTTCTATTGTTTTAAGATGTTTTAAGCATGTCCTTAATCCACCGGCCAACCCCGACGCCCCTCACGCCCTTAGGACGCCACAGTTCCCCAACGACTCTCCGAGCCTCGCCTGCCGGAGCGGGATTTGACACACACGGTTGGAGTTTGGGAGATGCATAGTTTGGAGGCTCAAGGAGTTGTGATCAGATCGGTTTTGCTCACGATTTGCTTGGCTGAAAAAGAGGGGGCTGCATGGCCACATTGCTTCGAGAAAGACTGTGAGCACGATCAGAATAGCTTTAAGTGTCATGATGTGGCCTGTTCAGCTGCATGTCATTGACCCCTATTTAGGGCTCAAGGGACAGTGGATCACCGCAGGACTCTTCTGAAAACTGCGGAGCAATTCGAGGAGTGCAAAAGCATTGTCAGCGGTTTTGTGGCCCAAAGGACTAGCTGCTAGCTTTCTGCTCTTGTCATGCTCGAAGGAGGTTGCTTGGTGAGATCCTAGCTACCCACAACCTCGCATAGATCTCACGGGCAAAAGCAAGATAAAGCAAGCATGTATTTGCAATTGAAACATTAGTTAGACACAATAAGCTATTAGGAACAAGTGCATCGCTACTAGTAACAAGTGCCTTACTAGTAGTAACAAGAAGCTAGTAGAAACAAGATTAATTGAAGGTGTCCGCTGCAGTACTCTCCCTGGCGTGGGGTCCACGCCAGACGGTCCCGAAGGAGCTGTTTGCACTTCGGAAGGCGACAGATTTCAACCTGGAGCAGACGGAAGAGATGCTTGCTCCATGTGGATGTTTCACCAGGTTCCGGTGGTGTGAATCATGCCATATCAGGCCGAGTCACCACCCCCCGAAACACGAATCTACTGTGTATAATACAATAATATATCACACACACATATATATATATATATGATTATACATATGCTTTTGTTGTAAGATTTCTGGCTATATCTGAATGTGTATATATATATATATATGATGAACATTCTCCAGATTTGCTCTAATTTAGGGGTTGGGCTGACAGTCATGCTGGCATGTCCATAGCTTAAACTACAAAACAACAAGATGCACTGTCCCTTTCTGACCGAATGACTGACATCTTCCAGGGGTCCTGTGAGGCGAACCATTAAAGCTTATGAAAACTTGGAGGTCCCAAACCGCACATTTTGAGGCGTTCTCAGCATCAAAGCAGCCCGGAAGTGTGTGTCACATGAGCTAGTAGCAACTCTTTGAAGGGCTTCCAAGCCAAGGACCGAGGAGAAAGCTGACCAGCCCCAGCAGGACCTGAGGGATGTCCCTTTATCTTAAGAAATCCTTTGAAGAAAGTCTAGAAGTTCGAACCTGTCCTGTAGATGGAGTTCCAGACAACAGACTCTGAAATCTCTGAACTAAATTGCTTGAGGATAGTTTTTGCATTGGACAGGAGGATGTCGAGAACGAGGCGCTTGAACAAGCGATGACGTTGGAGAAACAGTGTCTCGGCTGATCGTGAAAGAAACCGAGGGAGCGAACATCAGCTACTCATCATCGAGTTGGACAAATCCCACACCGCCTTGGACTACTGTAGCATGCCCTGCATACGGAACTGGTGTATATGAGCAGGGTCTAATCTAAGCAAATTACTATTCTCAGTGGACCACAGACTAGTTTCCATCTCTTTGTTAATGAATGGCGCTGGTGGCGAGATACACAGTTGTTCTGGAGAATGGGTCCTTGTTGCATTGTTGCTGATACTGCTTGGCATTTGTTCCGAGCGCTATTTTCCACAACTCGCGGCAACGTGATGTTTGCACACGCGACAACTTACCGTGTTCAGCAGTCACCCCAACACCATGCTGCCAGATGTTCCTTAGCTTTCCTTAGCCAAGAATTAAAGTGTGTATGTATACAGTATACATACATTATATAAGAAGAAGGATCGCTCTCATATACAAGAAACTTGTCCAGAATCAAAGCAGAAATGTGACCCTGGACAGAAGAAGGACCATCAAGTCCCCAAGCAGAGGTGCCTCAATCATCCTAAATCTAACTTCAGTGCAACGGCTTGCGCAAATCAATGGAACTGATTGGCCGGTGCACGGGGCGCGGAGCATTGGATTATATCTCTCTACATCAGATTAAATATCGCTACCATGTGTGACCTGCTCCTCCTCTTCCTCCTCCTGCTCCTCCTCATCCTCCTCATTCGAATGTCTAAAGTCAATGTGTTTCAACCGTAGAACTGAAAGCATTCCGAGCACAAACATCGCTTAACATCGTTTATGTATATATATACATACATACATGGATGTTCAAACAAAGGACCTTCAAAAGGGAGAGAAGGAGCAATGGGGTTATTGGGGGGCTTCTAACAACTTGGTAGCATGTTAATCCATTGCTTTCCAGTGCTTTGTTTCGGCACCTTCCATTGGAGACCTTCAGGTGAAAGAACCCCACCGAAGAAAATAAGTTCCAAAAACTCGAGGTGCGAGCAGTTCCGCCTTGCCCGCTTGGCGGTGGCTGAGATGGTCGAGGAGGCTCGCTGAAAAGGGTAGGGGACAAAGTCCCTTGAAGCCTTTTTTGGAAGGGCTTTGGATCAAGCCAGTGGCAGGCGCCTTCGGGCCTTCGACATATGTTCACATCAACCAAGCCACAGGAGTTCATTTCAGTCACATCGGTAGAGTCAGTCCCTCACTCAATGCGCACCGCCCGTGGACGTACCGCCGTGCGGCGCAGTGACGTGCTCAGGCCTTGCGCCCTCGTTCGCCGAAGCGAACCAACCATCGGAGCCTTTCGCGAGGTGGCAGGGTGTTTGTGTAGAGCAAGGGATTGGCTGAGTCAGTAAACCTAATGCTTACGACCCGCTTCGGGTAGAGGGTATGAGAAATTGTGGCATTTTGATATCACCAGTGAGGGTTCACAAGCTTTGCGCATGTCCGCTAGCCTTGGAAATTGTGTGTTCTGCCTGGAAGAGTGTTTCGGTCTCCTGTCATGCTTTGGGTGTCTTTGAATTACAATCAGAACATATCAGAACTGACCTCTGAAGATGTAGCAGTAGCAGCACGGAAGCCTATGACCATGCAAGCAGCTTTGGCATCCACCACTCATCGCAGGATTTATATTTATGCACCGCACTTGCTATGGAGCATTCAGGCAAGCAGCGGCTCAACCATAGCCCTTCAGCACCATCCTTGCGTGCAAAGCCAATGTGCGGGAGCTTACCATTGAACCGTTGAATCATGCGAACAGACCTTTCAGGCATTCAAGTTATTGTGAAGCCTGATCGCAGCAGACGATTCTATGCCATTGACTTCATGTTGGATACTGAAGACAAAGTTGACCTTCTGCCTTCTGCATTGAGCTGAATAGATCAGGCTCAGATTAGGATGAAAAAGAACTCGAAGAACATCCATGTTTTGGCTGCACAGTTCGCCCATTTCGAGGCTCCCCAAGGCAGCTTTTGTTCCAGAAGAGCGTCGTCGGAAGGCGAGTTGGGCCCGAAGGGATGATGTTTGGACTATAGTAAGAATGCTCCTAGTAGCGATGCCAGGAGCCCCTAGTAGCGTCCTTGCTCCTAGTAGTGATGCCCTTTGTTACTAGTAGCTTCTTGTTACTTACATCATGCTTGACCTGCATGATTTTTCGTCGTTGTTCGTCGTGCGCCCGTCGTTCCCTGACCCTCAGGTGAGCAGCCCCAGGTCATCTCCTTCCGAGAGGCCGGACCTCGGTTCCGTCCTCGC